CGTCGAGCCATTTTTAATTGTTGCTTTAAACGTGAAAAATCAGCTTCTTAGCAACGTAAAATGTTATTATTTGTTTAACAAAGCCTACCTTTTATTTATCGAAGCAAATAACACCATTCAATTTAAGTTGTCTCCATCATGTATTTTGCTATATACAAATAATTTTGCCAATTCTCGAAATAAAAACGCTTCTTCAAAAAGAGCCGCATCAGTTTTGTTATATTTCCATAAACATTTAAAGAAACCAAATATATTATATTTGCAATCAAATTTTAATTAGCCGTCAAATAAATTCACAAATATCATGTTTTGGCGCGTTGGGCCAACTTCTATCGAAATACCGATCTTAATGCGAAGTCGACGAAGAAATTTCCAAAATCCTCAAATAGTATCTTTTTGATACACAAGAATAGAGCCATCACCCTTCCGCACAATTTTCGATCAGTGAAATTTAGTATAACCCAGCTTTTCGATTTTTCGAATAGCAGTATTTCAGCATTTAATGCTGCTATTCGTGTGGAGCTCCGGCAACGTGTCGCGGTTATCAATTTTTAAATCACCGGCCAGTTTGTTTTATCGTCTACCAAAATATTTCGCACAAATCTACCGAAAACTGATTGACTAAATCTGGCACGGTTGACAAAAAAACATGTTTTTTTTTTTAAAACAAAAATCATTTTTTTGTTTAAAACATTAAAATTTAGCGGAAAAAAACATGTTTAAAACAGTAAAAAAAATAAATATTCTTGATCCAGCTCTATCAGAGCACATCTCTAATTATTTAAAAGCGAACGTCGGAAAACTACCGTGCGGAAATTGAAGTACCGTTTGCCTTTGGGTAATTTTTCGCGTTGCGATCCCCAGCAGTCAAATGTGCGAAGTCGTAGCGTGGTGGTGCGTTTTGGTTTTTAATGATCGGCAAAAAAATAAAGGCAATGACAGGGCGAAGAAGATCCCGTGTGGAAATATTTTGAGGAGACTGATGCCAAAGCTGGCTCGAAAATAAATAAAAGAGCAAAATGTTTAACCTGCAATATGGATAATGGATATAGTGCGACTGGTGGCTAGAATGCGCAAGCATATTAAAAATAGTAAACAACTTAAACCAGGAAGTTGGTTAGAAAAACAAGATATAATCGTATCAGATAGTTCTGATACCGACAATGATGATGTTTCTACCGAACCTATTTCCGCAAAGTTGAGTAGCTTGGAGAATTGTGAAAAAGGTACATTTTTTACTTGGAGTTCCGTAAAAAGTAGTGATAGTATTAGTTCCCTAGTTTCATGTTTGATTAATTAATAAAACATAAAGTATATTTATAGTACCTAAGTGTTCTAACCTATGGCCCTTTTAGTTTCATTTTGCAAAATAAAATCAGTTTTAATTATACTTGAAAAAATATAAAAAAATGAATCATTCACAAACGATAAAAAACAATGTTTAAAACAAATTGGTTTAAAACACCTTCATTGTTTAAAAAACTTGTTTCTAAACATTTTGTTTAAAACATAACAACCCTGAAATCTGGCAACACTGTCTCCAGCTTAACTATACCATAACCTATTGCCCGAGTATCGCTTGCCTAGTCGACGAACGCGAAAAGGTGCCAACTGGTGCGCATTGCGTCACACTGTGAATGCGCGATGGAAGGGTGAGGTACACGCCGATCGCAACGCGACTGCGTCGGTTCCACCGCAAGAGAAATCTATTCTCCACAGCAAAGCCTTTCACTTCTCAATTCCGCTCGAATCTCGGTGCTGTGTGGTTCGTGTGTGATCCGTTTTGTCGGTTTGGGGTGTATATTTATTTTGTAAATTGATGTTTGGATGTTCTGCGTTCTAATGGACAGTTTTATCATATACATTTGCAGGTATAACTTCCGAATAGCCGCATTAACCTAGTTTAATGATCAGACATTTTTGTTTCGTAACTTCCGCATCGGCCGCCATCTTGTCGAGAATTTGCTATGTGAACTCGCGCGGTTTGATCGAGAATTGTTCATGCTGATAAAACGCAATCGCTAGCACGTAGTTCGACAATGTCCTCCAGGAAAATTCTGGCGGTTTACAATATGGGTGAGCAGGGGAGTGATCTAGGCTTACTTTTTTTCAAGTAGTCAGTCTTTTTCTCTCTCCTATTAATCCATTTATTTTCATCAAAAGCTCTGGAAGGAAATCTTCGAGGAGGAAAATCACGTCCTAAATTATGTTTAATGTATGAAAAAGGAGGTCGCGTAGTGGAAATAGGTAGGCATAGTTATTTATAATTTGGTATGAAAGTAGGTTAGACCGCTACGTTAGATAAACCGTAAGTAAGCCACCGCTCGTGGTTATAAAAGCAGATCTTACATAACTGTCTTTTTGAATATCCTTTCTTCATAACGTAACGGACTTATTAAATATCTTTGAGTGGTAATTTTACCTGTTCTTCCTATCGTTCACGCATATCTAAAAATTTGAACTTTGCAGTGTCCTTGATGAAGCCCAGCCTATTACGATATAAAAATTTCCGGTTAAGTCAGATGTTTTTATATCGGATGATATAATCGTATGTGTTGTGTGCTCATGTTCAAGGTTACAACTGACCGTCGGTTAAGAACACGTATTCAATCGTGAGCATTTAAGATTCCTGTGAAAACAACATATATATTCGTGGTCCGTATACCTATTCAGCCAATGAGGTTTGGCTCGCGATTCTGACACTCCCAAACTTTTTCATAGCAACAGCAACGATGCCGCACACAGCTAACCATTGGCATGCCATATTCGTTGTCCCCATTTAGGTACCTCATGGCGAGAAATTTTAGATCGAAAAATCTAACACATCAGTGCGTGGATATGGATACAGTACCCTCCTAAACTGCGAGGACGATTCACTGGGTCATTTTAAAAACAAATTTCAAGATATATAACTACAACCAAAGCTTTTTTCTGAGAAAAATTTGCTAGACCAAGAACTTCTGATTGCAGCCGTCAACGGAAAACTTGATTGTACGGATACTGAGTACTCATGTCCCATATTTATAAAAACAATTAGTATATACAGGGCGTAATTTAATTAATGGCTAAAAATGCGGGATATGATTACTTAGCTCATTTTAGGAAGAAAAGTTTATATGAACATGTCCCAAACCTGAGCTACACGGTATTAAAATTTTAAGAACAAATTCGTTTTCTTATTATAACTTTAATACCGTTCTAGATATTTCCATGAAATCTGACATGCACTAAGCACCAACAAGCATTTTTTGATACAGAATATTTTTAATATTCCTACCCGTGGCGTCCGTACGGAATAAATAGGAAGTTTTGTCAATTTCTGTGGATCAAATAAACTAATATACTATTTAATTTGATTATCACAAGAATTGTTGAAGAAAATGCCCTCCTTCTACTAGAATACAGGCTTCAATTCTCTTTCTCATGGATTGGCGAACCCATTCAAAAATGTCAGAGATGGTTTGGCAAGTCAGACATTTTCTGCCTTAGTTCCTCAACAGTTTGAACCAGTGTCGTGTAAACTTATGAGGCGCCCCCACAAAAAATAGTCTAAACTATTTAAATCAGGAAGGCCAAGTTTCAGTTCCCCACGTCCTATTCAGCGATTCTTAAACGCTTCAATTAGAAATTCTCTAGCATGAATGCTAAAATGTGCACGAGCACCATCATGCATGTACCACATTTCTTTTATTAAAAGGGTACATCCTCGAGCAAAATTGGCAAATCGTTTTCAAGAAAGTCGTTCTGGAAGGAAGAACGGTGCTATGACACATCTCCAACTATTCCAGCCCACACATTCACGGAAAACAGCTCCTGATTACGTGCCTCCGTAATTGCGTATGGGTTTTCTTCGGTCCATACATCATATCATTATTATGGAAATTTAGAATGGAATTGCGGGAAAAAGTAGCTTCATCAGTAAAGAGTATTTTTATGTCAAATATATATGTAAAGTTTTCAGGAAGTGTTTCCAAAAACTATCGGCAGAAATTTGACCGCAATCACACGGCAGTACAATAGTACAAGTATTTTCCAAATAAGAAAATGGGAAACATTAAGCATTACCGCAATTTTCTTAGTTCCTCAATTGTGTTTAAAACAGTTTCCTGTAATTCTGGTGTTCTCACCGTACACGTAGTCTTCTGTGTATTCTAGAAAACATTCTGGTATCGGGAATGATACGATTTGAATACTGTTCTTGATATATCCGCCTAGCCATAAGCGTATTCCCGTCAGCAAGTCCATAGGTAAACTCGTAACTTGTAAATCTTGGCATAGTTTACTTAGTTTCTCTATATTATTGATTAAAGAAACTTTTACAATGTAAAAACTATCACTTTATGAATACTTGTCAAAATAAGACCGCAACGTAATCGATCAAATGTCATCATTTTTAAATGAAAATAGGGCACCAGCCTACTAGTTCAATTAATTTCCTTATACCACAAGTACATGAAAATGGATTTATTTTTTACGCAAAAATGGTGCATCGGACGGAAAAAAGCTAACAGGTCAAATTTGATGTATAATAAATGAGGATATTTTTGGAAAAGCAATGGCGTAACATATTTTTTAGTGGAAAATTACGGACGCCACTCGTAGAAATATTAAAAAAATGTCTATTGGTGCTTAGTAGGTGCATGTCAAGTCAAATTCTATGAAAATATCTAGATCATCATTAAAGTTATGATAGAAGAGGAATTTTTTCTTGAAATTCTAACACCGCGTAGCTCAAAAGTTAAGAGGTTTATGACATATGTTCATATAAACTTTTCTTCTAAAATGCGCTAAGGAATCATAACCTGTGTTTTTAGCCATCAATTAAATTATACCCTGTATAATTGAAGATTTTGTTGAACGTTTTCTTATGTTATCGAGTGTTCAGTTAATGGTAGTATATTTATCTTATTGGAAAAGAATCTGCATACCATATTTTCTAATAAAAAAGTGTATTAGCGGGTGACAGGTCTTATTCCAATGTCATCTAAAAAAAAAAGATATCTTGACTGAACATTTGTCTTCGCAGTGCCGAAAATTAAGTGAATTAAATTATTGAATCATAAAATGGAATGGCAGGTCCACCTGATTTTAAATGATCAGGGAGGTCATCGCAGATATAGGACCGCACATTTCATTTTAAACGGTACATTTTATTGATGTCTACATTGCACAAAAAACGACCGGTCTTTTTATTTCAGATTCCAAGGAGATCGTTAAGTATCCTGGGTTCCTATATAAACCAGAAACACAAGCAGTCCATCAAGAGGCCTAAATGGAACATTTCACTCAGTTAACTTTGTCTGTACTATCTGTTTATTAGTATTAGGGTTCCTTCAAAATTATTTTAATAAAAGTTTTGATTGAATGTCTCTGTTATTTTATTCTAAAGATTTTAAAAAGGTGACCTTTGTACAACCATTCTTCTCCTCGAGGAGCATCAACTTTCGAATAAGTATCTCTAATGGAAGGTACTGTAGTAGAGTCCATATGCAAAAGTATGACGACTAAACCTGTCGAATCGAAAAAGAATTCGAGAAACACAAATAGTAAATACTCATTTTTAAACGAACACGAAACAAAAGGGACAAGCACAAATTTACCAAATTCCAGGTTATGTTTTGTATACATCAACTGAACTGTCAGTGCTTTTTGCGCAACATGCGCTACCTAACCCGGGATCCCGCCAAAAAATCTTTGATAATTTAAATCAAATTCAAGCGGATAACCAAATGGAAATGGTATTTACCATTTTGGGTTGGTATTTACCAATCCGTTCAAGCGAGTGTAGTTATCAGTTTGGTTATAAGATCCGTGACGTCACGAATCAGCTGTTATATGTCATAGTTATCACCGCAAAATTGTGGTATTTACCCAACTCAAGAGTAGTTTTATATTTCTGGTTATTATTTGAAATGTGACAAGTTAGAATTTTGCCGGGTATTGGATATTGTTATTGTACTTCAGCTTCATTTTTGAGAAAAATGATACAGGCTGACTTCAGTTTCACCACAAGCACCTTATTAGTTATACTCATTACGGTTGTTGGGGACATTTTAAATGTAGTTCCTATGCTTAACAAAGTATCCACTGTAGCCATATACCACAAGAATATTAAAATATGGCCATATAAACTCACTAGATGATATCCACCTGTATACGGTTTTGCTAATTTCTTTTTTCATCATTTCTGCTGAATCAATAAATGTTTTCTTTGACATGCGGAAAAATTTAGAGAATTGAAAGTTATCACAGCTACAAAGCCATGGTTCCATCATTAAAAAAAAAAAAATCTGAAAAAAACATTTCTCCCATGAATATTATGAAAGGTTTCTTATTTAAACTTTCCATATACAGTTGTAGACGAAAAAGCACCGATTATTAAGTGATAATAAAAATAATTAGAGATTATATACGCGCTTTTCTAAAATAAACAACTTGCAACAAAACCGCGGTTAAAACCAACGCGTTCAAGCGATTCGTTTAACTGACGTCATCAACCCGTGTGTCATCTTGAACCATATTATAACCGCGGCACATAACACAGAAATTTTGGTTATTCGCTTGGATTTGATTTTAGTAAATAAATTTTGTTCAATATGTCATTGCCGTGCATTTTTTTGAACGCGGGAATAACATGCTTGACAGGAGAATGACAAATATGACAAAACATTCCAAAATTCAGTTTGATATCCAATTATTTAATTTATGGCAAAAGACACAGTATAGAAATCGAGGGAGTAAATTTTAAAAGAAAAAAAAAGCGTGACCGGACAAGACGGAAAATAATTCGAGAAGATCTAGCTAAAAGCCAGGAACAGAAAACGAAGCACATGAAAAACTATTTAAAACAAAAGCAAAGTAATCTCTAAAAGACCGTTGGAGACATGACCTCCACCGAACTTTCTTTTTATACTTGAACCACCGGTGGATACCTAGGGGCTATAGGATACAGATAAAAGAATGGACGTCACATGGACTCTAGCGAGGGAACACGTGCCCAAGCAGTATGTATACATTCTGGCATCGGCTTAGACAGCCGCCAGGTGGTACCTCCACGCACAAACGCATACGGAAAGAACGCTTACTCAGAGCAATTCAAACTGCAACACGAATATCTTTTCCGCCATGTTTTTGCAGTGCTAGAACAAATATGATACAGAAAGAACGCCTGTCTACTCAGAACAATTCGACGAATGACATTTGCCGCCATGTTTTTGCAGTGACATAGGCAAGGACTTCTGTTTTGTCAAGAAATACTGAATTAATAAAGGATAATAAAAAAGTAATTTAAGCCTACCTTGTAAGTTTTAAATCCCAGTTTTTGGGCAGCTCTGGGGTAAGTTGCTCTTGAAACCTTTTTTGTGGTTGCCTGATTCCAAAATATTTTCAATTCGTTATAATTAGTACGCCGATTTTCCTTGATAATCCACTTTAAGTCTCGTAAGTTGGTATTAGAATAAGGTGGGCGACTACCAGTTCTGGGTTTTTGAGCCACAGATCCCGTTGTTAGTACAATTTAATAATATTTCGAACTGTATACCTCGATTTGTTAACACTGTCAGCGATTAGGGAAGCAGTTTGGCCTTTTAAATGCAAGTGAATGATCACTTTTCTTATTTCGTCAGCCATTTTTAATTGTTTTACAACAGCATCATTGCATTGAAAGTTGATTTAAACGTCAAAAATCAGCTTCTTAGTAACGTAAAATGTTATCATTTGTTTTTCAAAGCCTACCTCTATTTTATCAAAGCGAATAAACAGACCGTTCAACTTAAATTGTTCATCATGTATTTTGCTGTATACAAATCATTTTGCAAAAAGAAGACAATTTCGAAATAAAAACACTTTAAAAATAGCCGGTTTTGTTATCTTTCCATAAATATTTAAAGAAACTAAAAATATATTTGAAATAAAATTTCAATTAGCCCTCAAATAAATTCACAAATAACATGTTTTGGGGCATTGGGCCCACTTTATTGAGACAGGACTCGTATATGCTTGGGTCAACAGTATTTCCTAAAGATATAGCGACAGTCCAGGGGTGCATGGCATCACTCAGTGACAAATGTTTTGATATTTGCCCAACTTTTTTTTGTGTTATCGATTTTACATGATAATTTTAGTATGTTTTATTTATATTTTAATGTTTTTCAGACATTGAATACATTACTGTAATAAAATTATCACTTTTGTACAGTCAATAATAGACAAGTTGAACGAATCTCAATAACTTGAGATTTAATCATTTGTAGATGTGCTTGTAGTTTTTTAAACTAATTTTTTTAGAGCTCCAAATAAAGGGTCTTAGCCTTTTATTGAAGCGAATTGGTTTCAAATAATACCTTTGTGCATTATTGACATGTATTAATTTGTTATATCAACTTTTTATACAAAAAAAGATTGGAAACCAAGATACAATCCATATGACGTCTTTATAATTTTGTATGAATGTTGTATAAATGGTTATTTAATATTTTTATAAGAATGTGCTAGTAAAAGCATTTTGTATTGTAAACAGTATTATTCTTTTCTATTGTTATTTTCTATTATCCTTTTCCTCTTCCCAATTCCGGATTCTTTTATATCTCTAAGGCACGATTTTACTAATAGGAGATCAACATTCTTCATGCGGATCAAAATGGACCAATGAGGAGGCATTTTTCTAATAATGGATCGAATGAATATCGTATAACCCTAAAATTTAGGGTAGACCAGAAAGACGTACGAATTTCAAAACCGCATTGACGGGCACGAGGGAGCGGGCCACGGGTAGTGGGGATAAGTAGCTTGGTGCTCGGATCTTTAATCGCCAGAGGGGTGAAACGTCTTATGGGCGAACTGGCAACACCAAGGTCATACTCTCCAGGCAAAATCGAGGTAACTGTAATACCCACATCACGTCACGTGCTGCTTGCCGGGATTCAGGGTTGCCAGGCGTGGCGATTTTTTACCAAAGTGGCGATTTGACGGCTTCAAATGGATAGCGTGGCGATTGGCTACTTTAATGGCGATTTTTAACATTTCTGACGCCAATTAATTTTTGCTGATATGTGTATACAGGGAAAAACAGATTCAACACAATTCACAATTAAAAAATGTGTATGCTCAAAATAAAACCATTATTTGGGCGCAGAGGGTAAACTATCTTTTCAACATCTTTTCAACATGCACCTGGTGTAACATAGTGGCAACGAGGCAGATTATCGCTTTAAGGATTGGGGATTTCTGGCGATTTTCTCATCTCATCAAAACTTGGCGACCAACGTGACTGAAAACCTGGCAACCCTGCCGGGATTCTCTATCTTTATCTGAATGTAAAAATATCAAATATGGCGTTTGTTTTGGTTAATATCTAGATTATCAACGCTGATTGATGCTCTTGGAGATATTTCGTAAAAAATGAGCATAAAATATAAAGCAACACTATGAGTAGCTGTAATGGTTTACGTGAGACGAATTGTGGGAGATGCAGAAGTTCAGGAGACTCTGTCATGTCATAAAGTTCTACAGGTAGGCTGTGAACTTAACAAATCGGCATGATGTATTTTGTAGATTATTTAAAATTGCATGGCTGAATTCAGCCTCTTTATAATCCGTTGTATAAAGTATGAAAGGCTAACAAAGGCATAGAACTGAGCAAACTATTAAACATGGCTAGCTTATTTACAAAGAATTATGAATTACATTAGTGTTTTCTGTATTGTTTCAGAATTATCAAGACGCGGTACAATGAAGTGAGACGCTTGTGTTTTGCAACACTCAACATGAATTTGAAATATATATCTATATTTACATGTAATACAATTTTTATACCATTGTCAACAGCATATGAATATTTTTTGAAACTAAATAAATTTGGTGCTTCATAATTAGGGTTGGATTTTATTATTCTGAACCTTTTTCTCTGTAAAACTGCTGAAAGAGATATTACCTTTATTGGGGATATTTTATGAATATATGTTTATGAAATATACCTTCAATATCGGAAATATCACTTTTAGCAGATTTCATATTATGAACACTCATTCCTACTTATTCCAGGCACATTCTCGGCTTTCTTTCGACAGTTCCTCCAGATCCAGCGGAATAGGCGGCGCAGCCATCTAACAAACGTCAACGGCGTTGCCAATATTTAATGTGCAGCTCCCACGTCTTCAGTCTTATGTGTTTTGTGTTAGTCGCCATGGAGCGTTTCACCGGTGAGCAGCGTGCGTTCTGTGTTAAGGCTTATTACAAAAACGGAGATTCGTGCACTATTGCGCGGCGTCTGTTTCACTCTGAGTTTAGTTTACATGATCTAAATCAATGTCCTGGTGACAGTGCAATCAGGTCGTGGGTCAGAAAGGTCGAGCCTACCGGTTCGAC